TTCATATATGAAACACAATTATGGTAACAGCAGACAGCAGGCAACTGTATGGTAATATCACGTAGGCTTTTCTGGTTAGTTTCTACTTTTTAAAATAATTGACATTTCTCACATATTGTTTTCCTATCACTGTATTACAGCCAAACATTATGGGAAGTAATGTTGCAGGATCCAATCTTCTGATCTTTCGGACTCGTGCTGGAGCCTATCTTCCAGGAACGTCTCTCCACACATTCCAATAGAAAGAAGTTCCCTGAGGCTGGGCTCCAGCACGAGTCTGAAAGACCGGAAGACTAAACCTCTGGTTCTAGTGACAGACACAGATTGGGTCCTGCAACATTATCCTGGGACACATATGTTTGCTTTTATTTGGGAAAGTAATGAGCTTAAGAAACCGTATTATTTGAATATTTGTGTGTATAACGGATTTTCCATGATAAAAGAAATTAGAATGGTAGCATCATACACAGAATAAGCTTCCTTTCTCAGGTCCAATGTCAGAATTATCACCCTAAGAAGCACCTTCTGGAGCCTGTCTGATCCAGTACAAACAGCACTTGGATAAGATGGGACGCCAGGTTTAAGGACATGTAGAGTACTACTATAGAATACTACATTTGGACTTCTCATTGACCACAAGCCATTTTATTTTTTTTAACTGATTCAACTTATCACCCCAAATTCTTAATATGGAAGTAAATAACAATTTTAAAAAGTTTACTTATATAGTAAATCTGGCAAGTGAATGTGGAAGAATGAAGGCAGATATACTTAGGAGCCAAGGGCTTGGCAGCAGAAGGAAACAACAGCCAATCGCCAGACATCAACATACCAATCAGCCAATAGGAAGGCACCACATAAACATGACTCACAGAACAGCCCAAAGCATGTATCCAAGTAGAGAGAAATTCCCTGAAGATGGGCTCCAGCATGAGTCTGAAAACTCGGAAGGGTAAATCTCAGGTCCTAGTGACCAACCTAGATTCGATCTCGCATGAATCTTCATCATCAAATTATGTGAAAGTAAAGTGATGATTATGGCAACAGTACTGACACAACAGTACACATTTTTTTAAACAAATTGCACAGGTATGTTAGAGTTATTTAAAAATCTCCTAAAATTAAAATTAAAAATTACAATAGGATTCACATACAGTATACTTTGTGCTGTTTAAACTGATTTGCTATGTGATTGTAAGAAGATAAAGCTTTATACCATATAACTAGACATGAAATTCTTTGGATTGTAGCCATTATCGGAAGGAAGTCTTATTGATTTAAGTATGTATAGTACCAGAAACCCTCTGAGGTGTATTTAAAAATACATTAAATCATGATACAACTAAATAACATTATTTATCAATCAAGAAATTGATTACCAAGAAGGAATCGGTTTATTTAATTCTATTCTACCGCAATTCTAGGATGAAGGAATGGACAGTAACAGTACTCTATTTAAAAGATAGATAGAAATCAGAAGATATTTCTCCTGTTATAATTACAGCATCCACCTCTAAATTTATAAGATGGTAAACTATGGGTTGTTGGTCTGAGCTCTGAGCTTGGCAATTTAATTGCAAACATTTCATCACCATTCGAGGAGACATTGTCAGAGTGCTTTGAATTGTGCTCATCTGTAAATGGTAAACCATTTATTGCAGCCTGTGGTAAGACTTTCAGAATTGATGAAAGACAGTGAAACATTTTCATGCTTTAAAAATGCTGAAAATGTTAACTGCATGAAAGAATTTCAAAGCTAAAATTTGTAATTTACTTATATAAATTGACAGCCCATTAAAGGTAGACCACAACAATCACAAAGTAATCATTCACTTTTACCTTTATTGGGAAAATCCAGTTTCATTTTAAGTTTTTCATCTTAATCCTATCACATACTGATTAAAAACAAAGCTACAAACTTGGTCAATTACAAATTTTTTTTTTCCAAATTGGACACAGTACATTGCTATTTTTTAGACAAATTTCTGCTGTTCAATTGGCAAAAGGCTATTGAGGGGAGGAGCTCATTGTTCTGCTGCTGTTAAAGGAAACTGAAAAACAAGATCTATAGTTTGTAGGTTTTTAAGGCCATGACTCCTTCTACTGAAAGACCATGGTGGTTTTGCTGATCAAAAACTATACACTTTCCTTAAGGAGGAGAATCAGAATCAATCTTTAGTACTCACAGACCAGCACAAAGTTAAACATTAAAATAAACACATTCTCTAAAAATTATTGAAATTTATATCCTTAAGGAGATTACATGGGTCCTGTGGATACTCATAGGCCTGGCAACACTTCCCTTACCATCTGCCACTCTCCCTTCCACTCCAATTTTGAAGTAAAAAAGTAAAAAACATCTTTACTTTTTAAAAAACAAAGCTATTTAATAGGAAGAAAAACCCTCACATATAGCAGGTTGCTTGTGAGATATACTCTGGCAAATGGGTATACTGTGACTTATCATACCCTCTATGGCAACCACTACTAAGTAATATAGTGTCACAAATTTTTATACAAAATACTAATTTTGTAATATTATTGCTTGTGGATCATGTTTAGTGATTTTAAAAATGTTTCAGCTTTTTGGAAGCTGACAAATCACTAAAATACATAGCGTACAAATTCATGTATGTGTTTTGTGTGTGTATTAAACAGACTCATGAAATCAGACCAGTTTACTCTTTCCCATAATGGCATAAAATCTATATAAAGTGTATAGAGGAGGCTAAGGCCATATCTTTGTCCTTCTGTTGCTCCTTAGCAGTTGTGTTCACTCTGAGAAGTAGCCATTGATATCCCTATTGTCCATAAATTGACTGAATACCCTTTAAAGCCATTTAAATAGTAGCTACCACAATATTTTGGAGCATCTCATTCTATAAATGTATAATACACTTTGTAAAGTATTTTACTGGATGATTCTAAATTCCATTATTATGAGATAGAATTTCCTTGTATCTATTTTCTATGTACCATGCATAATTTAATTATGTTTCTTCTACTGATCATCCTAAAGTAAAACTATATTGACAGGTCCATGAAATCTCTACAAATTGAGCTTAAGTCAGAGGCTTTAACATATTGATTCTCATTTAAAAGGTTTCAGAGTTAAAGAAATTCCCATCCAGGTGACAACTGTCATTTTAAAATTAAGCAAACTGACAAATGCACCAGCGTAACTTTCAAAATATGTAATGTTCAGGATTGGGTTCTTAAGATTATTGCAGCATTCTTTTAAGCAACGTCCTATTTATTAAATTATGAAAAATTCTACTGGAGAAACTATTATACCATAACAAATTCATAAAGTAAGAAGTAAAATTTCATATGTCTCAGTATTATTTTTCTGGTGTTGACTGGAACATCGCTTATGGTTTAGTACTAGGTTTAGACCTAGGACATCTGTTGTTTTCTTAATTGCAAATAGAACAATAATTCTGTATAGACAAACTGGAGAAAGATTAGTGTCAGGATTCCAGTGATCGCCCTAATTAATCATTAGATTATAATTAAAATCTGAAAATACTGTACACCAAGGGTGTCAAACTCGATTTCATTGAGGACTGCATCAGGGTTGTATTTGACCGGGGTGTGTGTGCTGGACTGGGTGTGGTGGGCATGGCTAGCTTGACATCACTTGTGCCAGGGTGCCTGTGGCGGCCTGAGTGCTCTGCCAGCAAACATGGGTTCCCGAGCTCCGTTTTCGGCTGCAACAGTCTCCTGCAACCATCTGCCAGTGAAAATGGCCTTTCCGAGCTAAGTTTTTGCTGGCAGAGGCACCACAGGCTGGTCCTTCGCTGTTTCGAGGGCAACCTCATGGGCCAGATCTAAGCAGTAAGCGGGCTGGATCCAGCCTGCGGGCCTGGAGTTTGACACCCCTGCTATACACTATATAATTAATAACACTAAATCAAAGGGATTGCCCACATCATAAACTATTATCAGAATTAGTTTTCAGATTGTTTCATTTTATATACATATATATACTCTCTCTCTCTGTGTACATACATAGTGTTACATAACACACTAAAGTGTATATAGGATTTCCAGATGTTCTGTCCTCAATCAGAATCTGAACAGCTCCGGTTCAGTAATATGCCCTTATGAGAAACTGACGTAGCTAAAATTCAAAGCATCCCAACCTCTCATTTTCTCATGGTTTGTAATATTATTCTTGAATTTATTTCAGGAAAGATGGGTGCACACACTCACATTAAGACTGTAATCTTACAATGCTTTTGAGTAACAACCAAGTCATTCCGTTTCTGAATCAGCACCCAGCGTCTCTGTTCAGACCAGTCAGTCATTGCTTGACCTAGATCCACTTAGCAAAAGGCCCTTTTATCGGCGTGCCCAGAATCACAGCTGTAAATCTGGGGGAGATAGAGGAACACAAACGGGCGGCTGTTTCACGAGTGGGGCCTCGAAAACGCTCCCCTTGCTTTGCAAACTGCGGCAACGAACCCAGCAGCCCCGCGTTTCAGGAGACAAGAGAGCGTCTCCAATCCGCGCAACGGTGGCTTCCCTGCAGCAGCAAGAAGAGCCCCAGAGGGCAATATCCGTTGCCGACTTTGCCCCACGGCATGGGGGTTAATTCGGCTTCCTGAACATGGAGGCTCTTTCTCTTTCCTGGGCAGCTCCAAGAAAAGGACAGACCTTCGTTTTCATTCTGGGCGCTTCAATGTAAGAGTCCCTGCGGAGCAGGCGACCGTCTTTGGCCTGAAGAGCATGTGTTGCTATCCACACACCCCAGGAAGAAAGGCGCCACCTCGGGCTGGCGCCTGGACCAGACGAGAACAAGAGGGGAGGGGAGGCGACAACAACCTCCCGCCACGCCATTCCCCATTGGCAGCGCCGCGCTTGAACGGCAAAGCAGGAAGAGAGCGGGCGGCCACGGAGACTCTCACACGCATGCGCGCCCAAAGAGAGGGGGCTCTCTCTCTCTCTCTCTCTCTCTCTCTCTGCCTTCCTTCCTCTTGGCTCCTCCCACTTCCAGCCTCCGTGGTGGTGTGTCTTTCCCTCAGAGCAAAAGCAGTCCTTGGCGGGAGGAGGAGGGGGGGAGAGCGGAGGGGCTCGAGCGCAAGCTGTTGCCTTGCCTTTCGGGGATCCGCCGCCAGTCTCGCGAAGGGAGTGGAGCGCGCGCCCGCCCGCCCGGACTGAGCGACCCATCGGCTGCGGGGCAAGGGTGCGTGGGGCTGCGCCGTGCAGAGGTGGCGGAGAAAGGGCGGTGCGTTGTCCCGACAGCGCTGTCGACGAGGTTCATTGTCGCCGGGGCTGAGCGAGGTAAGCTTAGAGCCTGCTTCTCTTCCTCCCGCTGCTCTTTCATCCATTGCCCGGGGGACGGGGGTGGGTGGGCTCCGTCCCTACGGAGGGCATCCTTCTCCCTCGCCAGAAGAGCCTGAGCAGCGTGCAGGGGAGCCGGGCGACAGGTGCAAGCAGAGAGAGAGAGGAACCGCCGCACCGCTGCTGCTCCTGCTGCTGTCCAAGGTCTGTCCTGTGTGGTCGCCCCTTCCCGGCTCGCCTTTTCCGAGGGCTGTAGAGGGGAAGGGCGAGAGGGCGCAGAATCTCTTCCCTCTCCTCTCCTCGGCTTGGCCGGCCCCGGTCCTTCCTCCACGCTCTCACACAGACTGCACTGCAGCTCCCCATGGCAACAACCTCACGGGATGGTGAAGTCCGGAGGGCAGCGATTGCATTCAGACCGGGCGCCTGGAGATGTCAAGTTTAACCTTTGCACAAGTTTTCCTCCGTTGTTTTTCGTTGAAACGCCGCCATTCGATTTCCAGCAGTAGGGAAGCGAGCTCTGCAGAGTGTCCTCCTGCCTGGTGGGTCGGAGTTTGGGATTTACCTATATCCGAAACTCTACCGAATGGCTAGGCAATCTGTATCATTAAAATAGCACCCTCCTGTCTGCAGTCTTTGAAAGTGGTACAGGCCACATTGTCATTTAAGGATGTGGCATGTGTTAATGAGGCCTGTGGGCCAGCCTGGGACATAGTGAGAAGACAAACTGGAGCTACCTCTGCATGCGAGGATGGGAAAGATCTCTCTGAGCTCTAGCCACCCCATTTATACAGATAGACAGATGTTTCTGCTTTGTAGAGTACTGCCATTCTTTTGCATATTTATAAGGCTTTCAGAAGACGGGTTTCTTATATTTCACTTCTCTGCCTGTGTCCATGTTGATATATTGTAGTACTAGCAACAACATTTTAAGAAACAAACGAAATAAAACTTTATGCCATAATAAATATATCACTCATTGTTAATAGCTTCAGTTTTTGCCATAGTGGGCTCCTGAAATGGTTTCATTAATAAAATTTATCCTGATCTGATCAAATTCTTTCCTTCCCGAGAATCTAACAAGGTAACCAACTGACCATTTATATTGCCTTTTGTATATCTGGTGTTATTTTTCCAGTAACATAGATATTGTAATTTTTACTATAGCTAAGATACTTGATTTATCCTATTCTTACATATGTAAAATTATTTTTGGGTTTAGAGAATGACAATAACAGCTCAGCTGCCTTACAAATACTGAACAATTGTTTAAAACTAGTTGGCAGTTTAGTTATGTATAGAAATTTTCAGTGATACAGTAAAATATCAAGTGTAGCTATCAGAATATGCTATGATACTGTTAAAAGGGTTTCTATTTGGACAATAATGGAAATGAGAACTTTACTAATTCTTTTTTTAAAGGAAATGGGTAAATAAAATGACAGCTTTTAAATATAAGTGGTGAATCAAAATGCATGTGCTTTTTAGAGATTCTTATTAGTTGCTTCCAGGAGAAAAGGTGAAACATTTTACATCTTTGAACTTAATTGGACAACTTGATTTACAAACATTTCTTTTAATGGGTTTTGAGAAGTCACAGAATAGCAGGAACCTTAGCGATAGCAAGAATTGAAACCTTAGAATAGCAAGATGAACCTTAGAATAACAGGAATGATTATATATTTTAATAACTGTGAAAAATAAGAGATAAAGGGCTTGTAGTTGCAATGTGGAAATTAGTATAAATCTCAGGCTTAACTTGGTTATTAAGAAACAATAATAAAATGCTATACATAGTAATAGAGTGGAAGAATAGAATATTAGAGCCTTTACCAAAGAGCATGGATTCTAACTGTGTTTCTCATTTACCGGTGTACAAGGTTTGCATGCATAATATATCAGGTTCACTCTTCATTATTTCTCATTCTACTGCTCGTGGAGAGAAACCTACCTCAAACCTTGTGGAATTGCTGCCAATCCAAGTAGGCAGTATAGATGAACCAGTGGCCTCCCTTAGTGTAAGGCAGCTTCCTATGTTCTAGTGATTAGTTTTCCTAAGAATCTAAAATTATTTCAAAACAGTTCAAGAAAATATATTTTGATGTGTCAATACTTAAAATGTCACAGAGATATCAAGATTTGCTCCGTAACACCAATAAATTTTGGTGTGGGAAAATCTTTTAAAATCTCACTGAGAAATTAATATGAATGTGAAGTTAAAAGCATTCAGACTATCATTTGTGTTTAATTTTGTTTGTTTTTTCCCTTTACTTTTATATCTGTATAATAGTTATATATTACATAATAATTTTATGTAATATTGTTCTGAACATACCTGCAAATTAATATTCTATACATGTTATTAATTAAACATTTACTGGTCACATTTTAAGAGCATAATATTTTATATCCTCCAAAAATCTTCATCAGAAACAGGTCACTTTAATTCTAATTTTTCATACCATGTAAGCTTATAAAGTAATTATTTATCTAGTCAACACAAACATTTCGTATTGTTTTGTACTGAGTTGTAGTATTTTATTTTTAGCTATATGTCACTGAAATATTTTATTTAATAGAAAAGGCTTTCATTATACAATAATTCATGGTTATATACTTCATTCTGAACCTTTGTGGAAGTGAAAAGTAATTTGATAAAAATGAGTGCCATGACCAATTCAAAGGAATACAATAAAAAGTAATCTTTTTCATTTTTAAACCTTAGAGGATACTATCTTATGTTATGTATTCATTGTTTGTGATAGATGTGATAATATTAATAAGGGATGTATGGATAGTATGATTAATATATCAATTATATACATACATTAATATTGATCAAAAGAATAAATACATATAAAATGCCAGAAGTACAGATAAAATTAAAGCTATTATGTATTAACAATATTAACAAATAATACTCTGAGTGAATTCCAACAATATGGGCTTCGAACTGCCTTTGCATAATGATATTTTAAAATATGCTCTGGACTGGAGGATTAGGAAGCAGACTGAGTAGTGTAGTGGATTCTAATGCAGAGTTAATTGTTCCCTTCCCCATTTTGTAAATAGAAACCATTTCCAGTTATAGGAACACAACAGTTTGCTTCATCTGTTATGTGTCATATAAAATATGTAACCTTCTAGTTGCTAAATGCAAACAAAGCTGTTTTACTGGTAAGAAACTCATCAACCTCAGCCAGCAGCCATCTAATTCTGAAGTTGACCTTATAAAAATTTTGGGAAAGGGAAAAAAAGCATAACTTTGAATTGTATAGAATAAACTATAAAATGTATTGCATAATGTACTGGATTTTACCTGATGCAGAAACATAAAGAAAGCATTATTAAATGCAGTACACTTACAGTGGCTATCAATATATTCTGGAGGCATAGTTTGAAATCTTACAAGTTTCCTAGAGAAGACAGTCTGTTTCTGTAAATAAGTTGCTATTTTACCATGTGATTTAGATGAAATATACTTAATTATATTTTCCCCTATTTGGCACCAACAGTGAAACCTAAAAGATCTTGCATCCTGAGATGGTAACCTGATAGGTAATCCATTAATTTAGCATTAAATTATGCAAAGTACAGAATTGTGGCTTGTCTTCTTTATTCTGCTAGTCTAAACAGCACAATTTTATGAAATAAATGTTTTTTCAATGTTTATATTGGAAAAAATATGAAACAATAGATCTATGCATATTTACATTTTGAAAAGCAAGACCCATTTCTTTTCTAAATATTGCATCAGTCGTATTGTGTAATACTGCCAGAAGTATATGCAAAAACACATTCTGAATTATATAAAATTCATTTATTTCTACATGGGGTTTTCCACATCAACACATATTTTAGCATTGCTTCTAATAGATGAAAATTCTCAGTATAGCTTATATGTGGGTTGATACAGATTTTACAGACAGAAAATGAATATGCAGTTAGGTACAGCTGGCACTGCTCATTGTAATTATTCATAACTGTTTATAATGGCAATAATCTTAGAAAATTCCACCACTTTGTAAAGAAACAGACCTTTCTGTTTACAATAAATTCCAGTTTTAGAAAACAATTGCATGCAAATAATGAAATAGCAGCATAATATCTGCATAAAGAGTCAATAGAACCTTTTGAGTACCAATTGAAGAAAACAAAAAGAAAGGATGCTTTCCTCTACTATTCAATTTAAGATATAGAATTTGCATCTGTTTTCAGTAATTGAGGGATGAACAAACTCTTGACGACTAAATGTATAGCGTATGCTCACAAGAAGTTTCTATCCAACAGCAGCATATTTCTTATTAAATCCAGCCTGCAATGGATATTAAAGCTAATATTCATTTACTCATTTTTGTAGTTTTCTAGCAGATCTTATGGACATGTTTTGGCAAGGGTATTCAAAAGGCTTATTCTGTAGTGGTCCTTAAAATCACCTCCAATGAACTTGTGTAAAGATTGGAAAAATATATAACCAGACAATAAGCAATACTATATTTCTGTTGGATTAACTAAAGTTATAAAAAGAGTTGGACCAATTTGAACAAAAATTCACATAGTAGAATATGTGGTTCCTGTGACTTTACCAAGATGGATTCTTTTCAGTGAGGTGTTCTATTTTCATGTCACTTACAGGTATCCACTTTGGTAATATCTCTAAAGTAATCTATACAGTATGTAATATTTTGCTCCACAAGATAGTCTAGCTCAGGGGTCGCCAACCTTTTGGACCTCAGGGATCACCAAACTCATAATTTTAGATCCCAGGGACCACGAACTGGTTCTGTGGGTGTGGCCTAATTTGTGGGTGTGGCTTGGTGGACCTATGACTGGCTGGGCATGGCTTGTATGTAAATATTATAAATATTTATATGAATATTGAATTTTTTATAAAAAAAAGAGCAACTTTTACCCAAAATCAGGCAAAGCAGGCAGGCAGATTGAGTTGCTCACAGATTCATTCAGAGATCTATCTATCTGCCATCGGCTAGCTCAGTCTGTCA